GCCCAAAACCCCAAAACCCCATGGAAATAATATTCTGATAAAATTGTAAAATTAAAGATAAAATGAATCGTAAAATAAGCAATCAGGCTAAGGTACAAAATAAAGATTAAGATCCCGAACCTCATAAAAAAGTATGATAATATATTTGTTAATATCATACTAATAGGAACAATAATCTACTGAGAACTTTGATAACAAAGAAAAAATCCTTGGAATGCTATTCTTGTGTGGGTTTACTTTTATGTTCTTGGTATTTTACTTTTTCCCAGAACTATCTCCGTAAGCATTAAATTTACTAATATCATGCATGAAATAAGAGAGGACAGAGAAAAGCTCATAAGGTTTCCAAGAGGAGCAGACGATTTGAGATTGATAAACTCAGTAATTTAAAAGCTCACTTAAAATCACTTTTACCACGTCACTCTGGCATTTTGCTCACTCTACGTGTTGTAAGTTTACATTTACTTGGCGTGTCTGATTCATTCCTTTATTAGTTTGCAAACTTTTGCAATTCCAGGCCCAATATTCTTGAGTGTTTTATCTGGGGCTATTTTTGGAGGAGTTCCTGGCTTCCTAATGGTATGTTTATGCGCAACTTCTGGAGCTTCACTCTGCTATACTTTATCTTGGTTACTTGGAAGAAACTTAGTGAAGAGATTTTTCAATCAGAGACTAATTTAAATGCAAGCATAGCTTGAAAAGCAAAAAGATAACCTTATCTTCTATCTTCTGTTCTTAAGAATTACTCCAATAGTGCCTAACTTTTTCATTAACATCTCTTCACCTATTTTAAATGTACCCTTGTCTAAGTTCTTTATTGCTACTTTATTTGGCTTGATGCCAATGAACATCATTCATGTTAAAACAGGTATGATGCTCAACGATATTTAATAAGTAGGAGCTGATTTCAAGGTAATATTTTTGAATTGATTATTTTAATAGACAATAATAATGTTATTCGGACTAGGATTCCTTTCCTTACTACCCACTCTCTTCAAGAAAAAGTTAGAAGAAAAATATGCTTGATTTTAAGGGAAAAGTTAAAACATTCAAATAGAAGTTTAGTTAATCTCAATCTTATTAATTGTATTTTAATTAATTCTAAATAATAATTATAAAAAATTAAATGTCAGTGAGACCAATTACATACGGAGAAGACACTAAAGCAACTGGCCACCCATTCGTCAATATTGGTGCTGTTTTCGGAGGTCTTCAAGGATTACTATACTTCTTGCACGTCTAGAGAATCCCATTCAGATCAAACTGGTTTGCTCAGCCTAGATCATTTGCAGCTTTCGCTATTCTTGCTGGAGGTGGATATCTTGCAGGGGGTATTGGTGCATTACTATTTTTCACAGATCGTGAGCTTTTGAGATTGAAGATCTCACATAACAGAGATGAATTAAACATGATTGAGTCTCAACTCACCCCTCTTAAATGATCAGTGATCGCTGATGCGATGTTCTGTCTTTAGAGATTCTATTTAAATAATTGCCATTAATCGTATTAATTGATTCACTCTTACGAACTTTAATCTTTCTAAGTGGGGTTTTGGGGTTTTGGGGTTTTGGGGTTTTGGGG